AGGCAGGGATGGGTGCTGTGTGCTGGTGTACGCTCCTTTCAGCATCGGCTGGAAGGGGTCACTGGGGGGGGGGTTAACCCCAGGCTGGTGCAAACATGCATTTAGCAGCAATGTGGGAAATTGCTGGGGGCTTGCAATTTAAGTTCGGCTTAAGTTCGGTGGTTTATTTGCGCGTTTGGAATCTGGCTTGGACATGTCCCAAGCAGGACTTTGGCACCTCTCAAGTTTGACGCCCAGGTCTATATAGGTTTCTACACCTGGCGGTGCAGGATAAATGACCAGTTTTCAGCAATTTTGTACGTGGGAGACCTTTTTATGGTAACATCAGATTTTTCTGTACAGATTTTGCAGTCGAGTGCCCCCCTTAACCCTTCGCTGTTGGTTCTGGGTTTGACCATCCCCTGCTCTTTGTAACACTGTTACGCCTGGCGAGAGGCGGGAGCTCACTTCTGATTTACTGTCCTTGGCCTGGATCTGCTTTTCTTCCAAAGTGGAAATTTGGAAAGCAACTTACCTAAAGAATTTGGGGGGCAGGGGGAAGCTAAAATATAAAGGAAGGAGGGTTGACCCACGAGGGGAGTGAAGCCCAGGTGGAGTTTGCTCTGAAGGGAAGGGAGAATCCTCCCCCGCACCCTAAGTCACCGTCAGAAGAAACCTCCAGCACCTCGATTTAATAGAACCAAGATCTTTATTGATCTCACTGTAACAGCAACCACTGGCGAGAGCTTTTCTCCTCCCAAACACCTGCTTGAAGAGACAGTAAAAAAAACCCAAATCTATACCCTGACTAGCAGAGGAGCTGCCCCAGCGAGGCCAGGCACTCCCTCCCTGCTCTTCAGCCCCGAGCCCCATTATAAAAGAGAACCAGGAGAAAGTCACTGGGTTGGGGAACGGAGACGAAAGGAGGTCAGGAAAGGGGGCATTTAGAAAAAAAGTGGTTTCCCTCCGGCTCCTGTCCGTAAGTTAAGATGTCCTCAGATATTTTCTTTTTTTTTTTTTTTTGGCTTGGAGAGCAGGTTTCCCGAAACGAGTCGCTGAGCCGAGGGCGCCGGGTCCCTGCATCCACGGTGGCCGTCCCCGCTCCGCAAAGGATGTCCTCGCCCCCTGCCCCTGCCGCTCCCTCAATCCGAAGGGCGCCGGGTCCCTGCATCCACGGTGGCCGTCCCCGCTCCGCAAAGGATGTCCTCGCCCCCTGCCCCTGCCGCTCCCTCAATCCGAGGGCCTAACAGACCTCCTAGGATCTTTGCTTTAAGGAAAATATATTTATTTATATATAATATATATATTTGTGTGTGTCTTATCACCACCCACCCACACGCATATACATATTTCTACTTGCACTCACTCACTCACACGCCTACGACGGCCGGCTACATGTTCACATCACATCCCACCGAGCCCTACCCATGCGAGGGAAAGGATGGAAGAGACATCCCATTCCCTCGGTTTTTTTTTTTGCTTTTACCCCCCCAAAATGAGCGGCAGCCCCTTCCCTCGCGAGAACAGCAGGTGGAAGACAGGAGCTCGCAACCAGCTGCCGCACTGACCCGCGCCAAACACACCTAGAGAAATAAATTACTGGACGGAAAGTGCACAAAGCCTGCAGCACGGATGCCAGCGCGGGGCGTACCCATCCCCGGAGCACGGAGCCACTGCCCCGGCAGGCGATGGGTCCCTGGGGCTGGGTACCGGGGAAGGGGGACCCCGGCGAGTGAGGGAGGATGGATGGAGCAGGCACTCAGGTGGGGGCTGATAAAATGGCACTTGAGAAGGTTGCAAAGCTGTAGACGGCTCCCAAAAGGCAGTAAAAAAAAAAATGGGGGGGGCTGGCAGGCTCGGGGGGCAGAACACGGCACCGCCGCAGCGTCCCCCACCACGCACGCCCTCACCAAACGCTGCTCTTCAAGGTGAGAGTTGCACCGAGAGAGGAGAAAAAAAATAATCCCATCTCCGAGGGGTTTCAAGATGCCAGCCACAGGCAGGATGGCCACAACGTGCCAGGCTGGCAAAGCCGCCAGCAGCGGGGAGTTTAACACGGAAACCCTTTATTCACAGCAGCACGACTCGGCCGGGGGAAGCCCCGGCGCAAAAAGCAAGCGGAGGACGGCACTCACGCCAGCACCCTGCAACCACAGCGCCCCGGGTGCAGCCACGATGCTCCCAGCCGCAGCACCACATCCCCCCTCGGGCACCCAGCTATTCCTGAGACATCCAACGGTGCTGAGGGATTTTGCTCCTGTATTATTCACATTTTAAAGGGGGGGAATTAAAAAAAAATGCACTAGAAAGCACTTTCCCGGAGGCGCTCGTCCCCAGCCCGAAAAAAGAAGTGTTGCTGGTAAAGTGCCCCTTTTTAGTACCAAAAAAATAAAAGCAAGGGTTTTTTTTGTAACATATGGCTACGTCACTCTGAGTCCTGGCTGGTGGGTTGGCGACACAGCCCCTGGTCGAAGGGCTGAGATGGAAGAAATCCGGGTAGGAGAGAGATGCAGGCACCCGGAGCACCGAAGGGAACGGGCTGCCAACATTGTCCTCTGCTGAAGCCAGCAAGTCCCGGGGGAACCGAAAAAAAAAGCCGCCCCAGCGTGCAAGTGGGCACTTGGTTTAGGAGCGATGCTTTCCCCCTTCTCCCGAGAGGCTGCCCAAATTTTCCGGGAGAAGGGGCAAAGGGGGTGACACAGCTCCACACCGCCAAGCTGCCAGCAATGGGGAGGTTTGGGGTAACGGGAAGGTTTTTTTGGCGGGGGGGAGCATGAGGTGGCAGAAGAGGCGAAAGGATGTTTTAAAAAGAAGCCTGGTGGAGATCAGGCTGCTGGTGGGTGGAGGAGGAGGAATAGGGCCAGATTCGGAAGGGATGCTCCGTCCGACATATGCTGGGACCAGTCACCCGCAAAGGGGGAGAAGCCAGAGCCATGCTCCCCAGAAAGAGGGGGGGACGCGGGCAGGGAGGGGGACGCCAGCAAGGACCGCTGCCACCTCCACCTCGCCGGGACGGATCCTGCTAAGCCGAATGGGGTGTGCACAGGTCTGGGGAGTTGCTGCCTCTCTGTGGTTCCCGCTCAGATATCCATCTCGAACTGAGCGTCGTCCCCTAGTGAGAGGCAAGGGGAGAAGCGTTAGGAGAGGGGTCACCCCGCATCCCAAATCCCCCCACCCCACCCCGGGGGTCCCTTACCCATGGATGGCTTCCCCTCCTGGTGGTTCAGGCTGTTGGTGTCTGCTTTGGGCTCCTCGCCGGCCGAGCCGGGGCTGGTGACGCCGGGAATATTGGGGAGGTGACAAGGTGGGGTCTGGGCCATGGGGGAGTTGCGGCGGTCCAGCAGGAACTTGCGGTCGTAGATGATCCGTGTGCCTGGCGGGGGGGGGTAAGAGGGGGATGGGGGGGGGGGAATCGGGC